CCGGCGCTCGACGCGCGGCGGAACGCGATCCCACCCTCGAGCTCGAAGCGCGCGCGGCGCGTCGCGAGACGCCGGCGCCAAAAATCCAACATCGCGATCGTCCGCGCGAGCGAGGGCGCGGCGGCAGAGCCGGCGGCGTCGTTCGCGGAACGCGGGCGAACGCCTCTCGTCGCGCGTCCCACGTGGCGACCCCGGCAGCAGGCAACAGCCCGGGCCAGCGCTCGCGGTACTGAGCGCAACTCGTCGTGCGACGCGTTGCCACCTGGCGACGCGCCTCGCCGGGGGGCTCCCGGCGGCGACTAGATGCGCGCCGGAGATCGCGGAGGCTGCGCAACGGGGGCGGCTAGCTGCCTCGACTTCTTCCGGAGCGCCGGACATGCGGCTGCGGAGTTTCGGGGGTCTCGTGATCCCGCCGCGCGTCTCGACGACTGCCGTGCTTGTCCTGCGCATTTCTTGCTGGCGGCGAGGGTTTGCGCGCGCTGTCCTCCGAACGTCGTGCCACGACGCTTGCGTTCGCCTCTCGCAGGCGCCACGTCGAATCGCTGGCGAACGCTGCAGGAAAAAGGGCACACGGCAAGCAGACACGCCCAAAACGGAATGGAGGAGTCACGACGGAGCGAGCGTGCGGTGAGAGGGGTTAGGTGACGTTAATTACGTAGTTAATTCACTTAAGTTCACGTAAAACATGATAGAATTCTAATGGTAATAATATATATATTACTTCTATAGAATATATATACATTAATAATAAAATATAATCTGGGAAATCACCACGGAGTGACCACAGGGGAGGGGGTTTTTTCTGTAAAATTACAATTCTAATGTAACGAACGTAATATTAATTCTAATTTAATAAATAATATAATATTAATTTAATATAAATAGCATAAGATTAAATGCGAATATAAATATTAATATTATTATAATATTTACATGTTATAACATTTAATTTTACACATATATACAATTCTATTAATAACTTCTTAATACACTATAAAACTATTACTTATAAAACACGCTCTATTCGACATTAAGGCACAAGATAAATGATATCTATTGCGGGATGCCTGCTATAACAACCCACGAGGCTGGGCGGGGCTATGACGCAGCAGGGGGCGTACCTTGTGCCGAGCTCGTCGCCAGGCGTCGCTGTACGGCGCGGCGACGGCGTCCCTGCTAGGTTCTCTGGTGCGCAGTCACCACACGCGAGAAGCCGGAGCCAGGGCTCACCACGTTTGTCAAACTCCTTAGCTTGCCTTCGATGCCACCTCCTTGTGGAACGCCGTCGCGTGACGTGAAGCCATGACACAGTGAGAGGACACAAGGTGACAAGAAGACACGAAGAACGGTGACGCAGTGATTTTTGGACAGAGCAGAGATGCACCAGGTCGAGACAAAACTAGAAAGGTAAACAGCATAGTAGGCCGGGAAAGCAAGGAAGCGCAGCATTGAGTTGAGAGAAGTAAAGGTAGATAGGACAAAAGGCATGGAGAATGTAACGAAGAAGTAAGACAGTCGTAACATTTAACCAAACAGATTTAGCAACGCAGTTAAGCATATCAAGATACGTAACAGCCATGCAGCAGAGCTATGCGCGACTCCACAGCATGTGCGCGAGCCAGGTCGCGCGATACGACCTGCGTTTCCTGCAGCTGTTTTGCGCGTCTGCGCGGTCAGGCTTGTCGTCTGCAGCTTCCGCAGCCATCTTCTCGCTGGCGCGCAGACCACGCGCAGTAGCACGCTCCAGCCGCCAGCGCGACCCTTGCTGCTCTTGGCGTCGTCGCGCTGCTGGAGCTTGTCGGCGTCGCTGAACCGGAAGACCGACCTCGCAGCACGTCGTTCGCAATGGACCTGCAGGGTCGCGGGAGACAGGAATGCCAGACGACACGTGTGATGCAGACACCTCGGAATACTGGCTAGAAATTTATAATGCACGATGGAGTGGTCACGTGACGATTTTTTAAATTGAATTAAAATTAAAAAAATGAAGTCGCGTTATTGTTTGAGCCGCCGCTGTGTAACGTGAGATGGGTACCTGGTTGAATCGACAAGTTGTTATATAGGCGATCAGCGATAATACTCAAAGTCGTGATTTATGCCTGCCACTGTGCTCCTTGACAAGAAGTCCGGCGACGCTGATCTGGCCATGAGCTGTCCTTTGACGAGCAGTCCTGAATCTCATTCTCCCGACTGCGTGATCTAACAGATGCCAGCGGCTGCAAACGACATCGGGCATCAGATGATGAACGGAATAATTATTAGATAATTTAATGAAAATACAACGATCCATAGTCATAATTAAAGAAAAGAATCGTAAAATTAATTAGCATTTTTCTGCAGAAATCACGTCGGACGCGACGAAGAACCATCTATCTCGTCACTCGCGCATCCGCGCGACGCGGTTTGCATCCCATTGCGCGGGCGACCGCAGCGTACCAGTGATCGCGAGCTGCTCTACAGTTCTTCTCCGCGCGCCCCGACTGGCTGATTCAGGAGGTATACAGCCGGTACAGCGGAAATCGTCGGCCTAGGCGACGGTCGGAGTCGGCCAGCCACAGCTCCATCTGTGAGGCAGAGGCTCGTCGAAATGTTCCGCGCGCCTTGGAACGACGACCGACAAGCTCTGCTTCCTCTTGTTGCAGCCCACACACAGGGTTCATAGTACTAAGACACTGTGAAATAAAGGACTTATAAGACCGCTTTACTGGCAGACCAAAAGTATGACTTTTTACAGATTTCTGATGATCACCACCTATAAAGTACAGCTAAAATATTTATATAGCAGCAATTGGCACAGCAGATTTAATTATTCCGTATTATATTAACAACAATTCTTACTCTCGTGAACAGTTTATAAAAACCTAGTCTTTGGCAAAAAATAAAGAGCTATTAAGATACTATTTGCCTACGATTTCACCAAAATAAGTATAATAAGGCCCTCTATTTATTTTTGGCAAAATAAATAGCTTTAAGACTTGGATAGACCGCTAGCGGAACCTGACACAGAGCGAGTATGATATATATTATGTGTAATATTATACTACTACTATCGTGTTACGTAAGCGACAGGTAACACAAAGGTCAACGTTCTGCAGGGCGATTCGTTTTCTTTTTAAGATTTAGGGGCGAGTAAAACACGACAGGTTTCGGATTAGTTTACTCGTTGTCGGAGATACAGATCTTGTTTGGCGCTATCGGAATAAATCTTGGCCGAAGATTTTAGTATTTTATGTTTACTATACCAAATATTCGCGTCAATAGTAATTGGTATGAATAAGTAATGTTTTCTACTTGAGTATACTGACTGCTCCCAAAGCATGACACATCTTCGTTGCGCACGCGATATACCAAGATTCTTTCAGTAGAAGTATAATTTCAGTCAAAGATAATGTAAAGTGTTCGCAATGGACATTGAACGTATGTCTTAATAAATGAAGAGCCTCTCACGAACCACAAGTCACCCAAACGAAATCAAAGTCCGTACGCCGCGCATAAAAGGCTACGAGACCGCCTGCGCCCGACCTCTCACTCGGGGGAGAGACAGAATCTCTCTGTGCAATCCTTGAATGGCTTCTTCGCAGCGGCCGCACTTGTTCTTAGACGTCTGCCTTGGAGGAGGTCCTGTTGAGAATGCAGGCTCAGCTGGTGCGCACTGTCGTGCGCGTTGCCCAGATAGGTGGCCGCTGAGCAGTCGAGCTCCTACAAAGTCCTGCAAACGGACAACATATATCGAATATAGATTGGTGTGTGTGTATATATATATATAACATTACAATGTATAATATAATAAATGATATACATGTACTGGCCACATATATATAGATAGGCCTATAAACACAGTACTGTAATATAAGTAAATATATATATATATAGCATAGACCATATATAATATATATATATTATTTTGGTTATCTCATGCTTGATAAGTACGAATATATTTGATCAACCACCATGCATCGTCAATGAGATCATCAGAGACTTTCAAAGTTCCTAGGGCTGCCTGGGACGCCACAATGTATCTTCAACGTTAAAGTTACGTCGCTAAGTCCACGAACGTATACGCGCGACCTGGCTTCGCGGCACATGCTGTGGAGTCGCATGGCTCTGCTGCATGGCTGTTACTTATCTGATACTTAACTGGTGCTAATCGGTTAGTTAAATGTTAACGACTGTCTTACTTCTCGCTTACAGTTCTCATGCTTTTGTCCTACTCTACCTTTACTTCTCGCCAACTCAACTGCTGTGCTTCTCTTACTTTTCCGCTACTAGGCCCGTAGCCAGGGGGGGTTCGCGAAGGGGGTTCCCCCCTCCCCCAAGGCCCCCCCAAGCAAAATCTTCTTTTTTTTCCATTTGAAAATTTGCAAGAATTTCACCTCAGGTATGCACCAGATCGCTCCATTTTAGTGTAATAATTGGATTATTGGATTAATTGGACACCCCCCTCCCACACACTCCTCCTCGGTCGCTATGCTCCCTCGCTCAGTCGCTTCGCGCCCTCACAAATTGCCAACATTAAAAACCCACCCCCCTCCCCCCAATATAAAGCTGGCTACGGGCCTGCGCTACTATACATTTACATGTCTGTTATTTGACCGGTGCCACTTTGGCTCTGTCCACGAGTCACTGCGTCACCGTGTCTTCTTGTCACCACATCACCTTGTGTCCTCATCACTGTGTCACTGCTTCCGTCACGCAGGCGTTCCACAAGGAGGTGATGAAGAAGACTAAGGAGTTTGACAACGTGGTGAGCCTGGGCTCCGGCTTCCTCGCGATGTGTGACTGCGACCAGGAACCCGTAGCAGACGCCGTCGCCGCCGTACAGCGACGCTGGGACGAGCTCGGCACAGGTACG